AGAATAATTTGTCCTAATATTTTTAAGTGAGGTAATAAATGTTATATGTTATATCATTGATAGAATTATGACCAAACCAATAGGTAAGGAAACTTCTTATGAGTGCCTATTACAAGAACAAATGGATGAAACGTAAGCACTAGTGCCTATTACAAGACCATCCTTTTATATGAATTTATTGTGAAAGAAGATTTCCCAATGATGAAATTAAAAAACAAGTATATGAGGGTCAAAACCCTAGTCTTATACATTAAGAACATCCTAGTTGTACTCTACAATGGTTTAAAAACATTTTATTGTCATAAAAAAGAGTCTAGAGCTTCATATAAGATGTGGTCATGATCTTTTCATGATTTTTTTTAATGTATAATGATAAATGGTTGTCTCTTAGTCATTGTATGAAGAGATGCCAAATTTAATATTTACAAAAATTAATTCACAATAAGTTAAATCAAAGTAGCTATGATGGGTTTAGATAAAATCCATAAAGAAGACAACAAATCTGATGATAGTTTTTTTCCCTAAAAGAATATAAATGTAAATAATAAAATAGATGAAGGAAATAATGGAAAGACAGAGAAGAAGTGATATTTTTGCACTTGATCATTGCAACCAGCTCTGAACACCCCTTATTTGCATTTAGTCCCATATCTGTGGTAATTTTTACCTTGAACCCTTAAGAAACATATATGGGAATATGATCACAACTATTCGACCCATTGAATTATTACATAGATTTTTAGGATCAACTTAGGTGTCAGGTTCTGATAGAAAAAGGCATGATTTTGTAATAAAAGATATTTAGTAGAGGCAGCTATTTTATACCAGAAAATAAAGATAACTCTTATGAGAAATTTAGAAATTTTGAATAAGAAAAATAGATAGTGAGAGAACTAGAAGTGGCCATAGTAGGTTGCACACTTTCATAAGTTTTAAGAGAATGATTTAGTTCATAATTCTATATACCATGCAAAGTAACAAAGAGGACAGAGAACAAAACTAGAGATTCCAATATTACCATGAATTAACTAGAAAAAGAAGATAGGACCAACAAGTGTTTATTTTACAGGAAAATGCAATGTAGAATTAGTAACCTTCCTAAATAATAAAGACGAAAGAATAGATGAAATATTGGGCAGCTATAGTTTATAAATTCATTCATGGCATACCATTTGTTGGTTACTAACCCAAATCCCCCAACTTATTGTTGTTTGCTCCAATGACACGGCTCCTCGTCTTCCAATAAAAAGTGAAGCCCCCAGCATAGTTGTGCCCATTTTTTGGGCTAAGCCCAAGCATTATCCTACTCACGGAGGATAGCCAGGACAGATCTTAGAAGCCATAGTCTTAGATCTGGTGATGGCACAATTGTTGCATTAGACAGTAATTGATCATAAAATATTCAACTGCAATAACTATCAGAAAGTTTGGACGTATGAGGATAGAAATCTACATCATATCTTAAATTTATTTATTTATTCGTTTTTCCTCTGCCCAAAATTGGCATGTGCTGGCATCTTTAAAAAACACATTACGAGAGCCACATGGATTAAAAGATGGAAGAGGAAAGTAAATACATGATAATTATGGGTCGTACATATTCGACTTTGATCCAAAATCCTACGTTTTTCTCTTGATCCTTGAGCCAATTGGAAGTCAATATATAAGTCAACCCCAAGTACTTGACATGTTCTTACGGCTAGCAACCAGACTGATGCCATTCCTTGGAAGAGAAGAGGTTATTACCTTTTCTCAGACACCAAATGCCAATCTATCGGCAATCTATTGGAAAAGTAAAGTCTACCAATCGATGAAATGAAAATACATATTATACAATTATGGCATAAAAATCGAGTTCATAAAAGGTTTAAAATACTTCATCATCATGACTCAGGCAAGACATCATTTATAATCGAATAAACGGAGACAAAAACATCATTATAAAAAATTTGTAAGAAACAGAGTATATTGGATTAATCCAGAGAAATCAAAGACAGGTTCTTACTTGAGAAGGTATGCTCCACCCACAAAGGGACTAGAAAACCCATCGTTCTGTCTCACTGGCGGCAGGGTGGTGTGGTCATTACCTGGATTCCTCCTACAGTCAATGGCGGCAGGGTGGTGTGGCCACCGCGTTGGTGGAACGCAAGGCGCTGATCTCTTCCTGACGGACGCACGGAATCCACGCCTCTGCGTAATCTAATCCCGCGTCTTATAGAATACGTTGCAGCGCAGCAGACGCGTAATTTATTTGTCGCCATCTTCTTCTTCTTCCTCCTCGGTCTCTCTACCAGGGCGAACGATGGGACGCAGAAGCAGATTCGATTGAGAGGAGCATAGAGACGGAGCCGGAGGAGCTGCAGTTCCGGGGAATTGTGGGAATCTTCAGGGAGGCACAGAAGACTCCGACGTCGTGGAGGAAGATCTTCTGCGGCATCGCCCTGGGGACCGTTCTCCCTCTCTCCTTCATCTTCCTCCTCCAATTCTAGATCTCCGAGCTTATCTTCTCCAAGACCAACAGCAATGAGCAGACCCTCGAGGACGCCCCCGCCGGCAGATGCACCAAGGACAGACTCAACCGCCTCGCCTCCAAGTGGGCCTCCTACGAGGCCTTCCTGATCGCGTACCTCCTCTTTGTTCCTCGTCCTTTCCCTACTCTCCACCTCCGCGGTCCTACACACTCGCCTGCGTCTGCACCGCCAAGGACGTGACCTTCCGCAAGGGCCTCCTCTTTTTCTCTCTTTCTCACACAGCGGGTTGGATATACTTCAAGTAGCTCACCAGGTTCTACGGAGGGTTACACCTCTTGCTGGGAGGTTCTCTGAGTCTCCCGGCGTGAAGGTAGAGGTCGGCGCGGCGCACTAAGCTTGCCTCGACGCCCTGATCACGGCGTGGGTCTTCGAAAGTCAAATGCCACGGAATCGAGAAGGAGAGTATCATACCCCAGCCCTCGGAGAAAACAGAGAAGGGGGAGCTCCTACTGATATGCCATCTCCATCCGCCATCTACCCCCTTTGTTTCTTCTGAAGGGCAGGGTACGATACTCTCTCCTCCTCGATCCCGCGGAGGATGCCTTCGAAGTTTTCCTATCACCCGCGCAGCCGCTCCATTTGCCTTTCGAAGATCCTCACCGAGAGCAGGGTGTCGACGCCGACTTGGTGCGCCGCGCCGACCTCTACCTTTACGCCGGGATAGGCAGAGATCAGAGCCGGCCTGAGGTGGAAACCTCCGTAGAAGCTGATAAGGTACTTGAATTTATGGATATCCAAACCCCTCTGTAAGAAAGAGAGAGAGGAGATGGAACTGGCCACAGAGTGCAGGTTAGAAGGCATTTCATCGTAACGTTGGGCAAGAGGGAGAGAGAGAGAGAGAGAGAGAGCCAGGTAGAAGCTGGGATACAAGATACACGGTGGAAGAGTGATGAGACTACCATACATGGGAACTTTATGAGCTACCGCCTTCTACAGTATATTGGTGAAGATTCACCCGCATGCTGATGACCGGATGTAACCGTCAAATATTATTCGCTAGAGGAAACTAGAGTGCACAGCATGGCCGGCGACGGCGGAGGTGAGGGAAGTGTGGGTGGGGAACCTTCTGGCGGAACTGGCCGGAATCGACGGCTACATCGCAACCCGCTACACCAACTCTAGTGCGCTGTAGTTAGTCGGCAAACTCCGGGTAATCGGCACGAAGTTCAGAGTTTTGGCATGAAATGAGAACAAAGACTCTAAAAGGCGGCAGTTCATCCAGTCCCGATGAGTAGTAGGCCTCTCTCTCTCTCTCTCTCTCGTTTATAGATAGATATATATATATATATATATATATATATATATATCTGTCTATCTATCTATCTACCCTACCTATCTATCTCTCTCTATCTTGTATCCCAACCACAGGGCCCCTTTCCTCTCTCACCGTCAGTCTAGAAACCTCTCTTCTGCGCCGACTAGGACAACGTCTTGCTCTAATATAGTTTTATTTTTCTGTTTTTCCTTCCCTTTCAATCTATGTTCTCTATTTTTCCCATCACATCGCTCTAAGAATCAGGATTAGAAGTCTGCTTCTAATATAAAAGGAAGCAAGAACATTTCTTGGTTCAAGTTTTTTCATTGCATTCATTACATACTCATCCTTAGATGATTTTCTCCGTCAGAAACGTTTTATTAACACTCCAACACAGACTGGTGTTGTTCGAGGAACACAACTATATCACAACGAAGTTTCCTTCTAGAGTGAAGGATGTAAATTTAACTTTTCTTGGCACAATGCTTTAATATTAGACCCATCATAGGGTCTTGTGCGTATCTCTTGGAACATCTGAGTGGCTTTGCTTTAGGCCTGTAGAAGTTGATTCTACGTTAATGTTTTTAGTCAATGAGATTTAACAAAGTGAGATCAACTATTGTGAAGGTTACATTTTGTTTCCAATAAGACTCAAAATGTTCTTCTAGCACCGGATACGAGAGATAATAACTTATTCAAACATGAATTCAACTTGGAACTTTTACATACAAAATGTTCTCAGCATATAATGCATAGTTCTTTTATGTCTATAAGCTTCAATTTGTTGGATTGACATTAAGTTTCTATTCTAGATTATTGATCTATACTATTTTCCCCTGAGCTTTGCATCCATTGAAAAGATTGAAATATGTTGGAGGATTGAGAATTTATTTCCCGTTTTTCCACCTTTATTAGGTATCTTGCACTGCCACCTTCTTGTTTTCTACAAATCCAGCTTTGCACTAAATCATGGTTGGGAGAAGGAATTAAGAGATCAGTAATTTTAGGCTATGCAAACATCTCACATTCATCACTTTCATTGTGATAATACCTTCTCTTAAATGAGAGAGCCACTAATGGAGTAAGTTTTGTTACAAAAAACTTTGAGATGATGGAGATGAATTTAGGTTGAAATCCAAAAGACATTCTAAAGTTATTTATCTTGATGACTTGATTGATGGTGATGTAGTAGTAACATGGAAGATAAACAAGATTTAGGTTTGAATCCACAAAACTCCAATCTTAGAGAAGAAATCAGTTTTTGAATCTATAGATTCAAAATCTTCAACCCTTAAATCCACAAGAGAGTGTCTAAATCTACAAACAAGATGGAAAGAGTTTCACAATAGAGAAAATTGATTCAACTAAAAAGTGAGGTCCTCTTATTACAATGGGGGCTTTTGTATAGGCCTAGAAAGGAAGTTGAGTGCTCTCAAAAGAAGGATCTTGACAAATCCTAAGAATAGAGTCTCACTAACTCTAAAATGACTTCGCAGACTCTAATAGATTGAAATCTTGGACATATCCTCTAAAAATACTCTGACTAACTTTGAAATGACCTTAAACAGACTCTGATAGGTAGATATATTGACATATGTGGACTCCTTTTTAGCACTCTTCACTTTATGGTCTAAATTTAAGATAAGTGGACACAAATTTGAAGTTGAGACTTCAACTTGTATCTTGGGCTACATCAGTCTCTCCTTCTTTAATAAAACTCCATCTCGAGTTTTCATTTGAATTGTTATAATAGACATATATATCACTAACTTTGGATGTAGGTGAAATAGTCATATTCGGTGAGAGCTCAATGAGGTATGTATTATCATTGATCTTTTATGAAACTTGATATGGTCCATATTTCTTTGGCTTCAACCTATTGTAGTTACCTATTGAAAATCAGTTTTTGTGAAGGTATACCATCATTTTATCTCCAACTTCAAATATCTTCTTTCTTTTTTTCTTATCTATTGCTACTTTATATTTCTCATAATTTGTTATGAGATTGTAGTTACACCTTCATAAAATATTTTGATGTGATCTATCATGTTGTTTGTGGTAATACTAATTTCAATTGGTCTTAGTATTTTTAATAAATCTAATAGAATTATTAGAGGAAAACAATATACTACTGAAAAATGGAGATTAGTTAGTTGAATGATTAATCATTAAATTATAGGTAAACTCTACTTGTGCCAAAGTATAATCTCATTATTTTGACTTTTCTCTTGAAATATAACGAATCAAATTATCAAGAGTTTTGTTCACAACTTCAATTTGACCGTTAGTTTGTGAGTGACTAGTACTACTGAATTTTAAAAATATGTCAAACCTTTTCCAAAGAGTTTGTTATAAGTTAAATATAAACATAGAATCTTTATCAAAGGTAATTGACTTAGGAATTCTATGTAGACAAATAATTTCTTTAAAGAAGTGATTGACTACTTAACTTGCATCATTTGTCTTTTTACATGTAATCAAGTGTACCATTTTTGAAAATCTGTCGACAATTATAAAAACTGAATCAATTCTTCTCTATGTTTTGTGGCAGATCTAATATAAAGTCCATAAAAAAATATCAGTCCATAGATTTTGTGGAATAGGTGATACAGTGTATAGTCCAGTATTTTGACTTTATCCCTTGTAAGTTTGACAAATCTCACATTTATGAACAAAATTTCTACATCTTTTTTTAGTTTGGGCCAATAATACCACTCTTTAGTTGTCTCCACAAAGGTGTCCTATTAAACCTGAAAAATGTAATTCTTGTAGTAGTTTTTCTCTTAAAGAGTTGTGAAGAATATATAAATGTGTTCTTAAAAATAAGAAATCATCTTGTAGATGAAAACTTTTAGTTGATAATCCTGACATACATATCATATATTGTTGAGAAAAATTATCATCATTTAGGTATAATTCCTTGAGATAGTCAAATCCTGTGATCTTAGCACGTAAGTTCACCAAACATGCTATTTTTTTACTAAGATCATTTGCAACTCAATTCAATTTCCTTGACTTGTGTTTAATAACCAAAATAAAATATTGAATGAAAGAGATCTATCTAGCATGTATTCTATCAATAGAAGTCTAACTATTAACTGATTTCAGAGTTTGATGACTAGTATATAAAATAAACTCTCATTAAATCAAATAGTGTTCTCATGTTTGTAAAACATGGACCGTAACATAAAATTTTTATTCATATGTTGTCTATTTTTTTCTTACCTCAGAAAGTTTTTCACTAAAAAATATTATTAGCTGAGCTTCTTACGATAATAAACTTCTAATGTCAGCTATGGATGCATTGATAATTTATTGCAATTTAGTAGGGCTAAAATAAGAGCAGAACATAATTTTTCTTTTATATGGTAAAACTTTTACTAGGTTCATTAGTCTATTTAAAATTACCTTTTTTCATGCATTAAATAACTATTAATGTTATTGAGTTAAAATTTCAAATGAATCTTTTATAAAATGATACCAACCTATGAAAACTCCAAACTTGATGAATTATGATTGGTGTCGATCAATCTTTAAAAGGTCTAACCCTTTTTTCATCTACTTTGATCTCATCTACACTTTAAGCATATCCTAACAATAACAAACGAATAGTTATGAAGTCACATTTCTTTAATTTAATGTATAATTGATTATGTTCTAACATTTTAAACACTAATTTGAGATGTTTCATATGTTCTTCTTTTATAGTACCATAAATAAAAATATCATCAAAAATAAATAATAATAAATTTACCAATAAAAAAATTCAGAACTTGATTCATCACTCTTCCAAAGGTACTAGAGGTATTAGATAAGTCAAAAGGTATGACCAATCATTCATAAAAACCTGCCTTAGTTTTAAATATAGTTTTCCATTCATCTTCTAGTCGAATTCAGATTTGATGATATCTACTCCTTAAATCAACTTTTGAGAAAATTTTAGAAACATAAAACATATCCAACATGTCATCTAGGCGTGAAACTAAGAATATATACTTAACTGTTATCTTATTGATAATTCTACTATTCACACACATCCATCAACTTTTATATTTCATTGGAAATTGTAGAGTAGGCACAAAGTATGGGCTCATACTTTCTCTTATCAATCTTCTATTTAATAACTCTTTGACTTGTTCTTGAAGAAATTGATTTTCTTCTAGAGTCATCCTATAATGTGGAAGATTAGGCAAACTTTTTAATGATATAAAAAATTAATATGATGTTATACATCTCGCATTGGTGGAAGATGAGTAGATAGTTCTAGAATTATAGAAAATTTAGATAAGAGACTTTCAATAGCTTTTGGTGTCACATTAGCTATTTTGATATTGAATCAGATTTTTTAATAACAAATAATTCAATATTAATATCAAACTCTTTGAGAAACTCTGTCTAGTTGATGAGTATTACTTTTCTTTTTTCCTTTTCTCCTTTGTTAAAATTACTATCTTGTAGTGAAGTTAAAATATTTTTTACCATTTCTATAGAAAATATAAATATTTTCTTGCTATAGTATGTAGCATCAACATCAAACTGCCATAGTTTCTCTAATATCATGTGACAACTATTCATCTCAGCAACAACACATTGCACTTCATCAAAATAAGTCTTACCAATTAAAAATTTGATGAGACACATCTCTAAAACTTTAGTTTTTGTTTCTTTTTTTATTTAATCAATTTCTTATAGATGAGGGTGTGAGCATGTCTGCAAACTTAATTTTTTAACCACAATAGAAGAGACAATGTTCTCAATATTGCCACTATCAATAATTATATCACATACCTTAGAATTCACAGTGCACCTTATTCTAAAACTGTTATGACATTGTCCAAATGAATATGATAGTACGTCTAGTATCAAATTGAATATAATTTTCTTCTACCTCACCTTCAATTTCTGATTCTTCATATTCAATTTCCTTTATGATATAATCTATAAGGTTTACTATGCCATGTTTAGGACAAATTTAATTTTTGTCAATTTTTTCCACACCAGTAATATTTAGGAATGACATTAGGAGTATAAGGATTTTTGTTAGTAGAGAATTAGGTAGAAGAATTTTCTTTACTTGATCTAATAGAACTTTGATTCAATCACCCATTATGCGGTATAAAAGAAACAATAGTAGATCTTTCTCTATTTTGTTGAAGAGTTGAATTCTGGCTTCTAAAATTTCAAATTTTGGTTTTTCCTTTCTGTAATAACTCTTCAACATGCTCTACAACCATTACGATATCATTAAGCTTAGAAAATAATTGTAAAGCTACTTTATCTTCCATTTCTCATCTAGGATCACCTTTAAATCTTAAAATCATATATAACTCAGATTTTGTCAAGTTAATTTGAGAAGATAAATAATAAAATTCTTCAGCATAATCTAAAACTGATTTATTTTCTTGTTTACAATTTTTTTAATGTTGATATAAAATTTGTTCATAATCTTGGGGAAGAAAATGAGATTTCAAGAGTTTCTTCATTTTCTCCCATGATGGTATAGGTTCTTTCTTGACCTTGTACGTGTGATTTATAATTGATCCCACCAAGCAAAGGCTCCACCCTTCAATTTATAAGCCAATAACTTTACTTATTTTTCATTAGAAATTTTCATATACTTAAAGAATCGTTCTACTTCAACTAACCAATTTAAGAACTCTTCAATCTTCAAATGCCATTAAAATATGGTAAGTCAATCTTCATATGAAAATTCCAAAAATTATCTTCTTCAAATCTTGATTTAAAACTTGTAGACCTAGACATATAGTGAGTATATGACGAAGATTCAACATAACTGAATTTTTGAAGATGTCTGATTTCATGATCTCCAAGAGGGCATGAATGACTCTCTAATGTACTCATTCTTATCAAAAGTTGTTTCAAGGTTTCACTAATATTATCAAATTTTTGATCTATTCGATTTTAAATTGTAATAAAATCTAATTTTGAGATAGGAAAAACTTCAAGTGAATCAGCAACACCAATATGAGTAAATTTATCTCGTGACTTTATTGAACCTTTATTGAAACGTTGACTTGTTCTAATACTAATTGACGTAGTAATAACATAAAAGATAAATAAGATTTAGGCTTGAATCTACAAAGCTCCAATCTTGGAGAAGAAATTAACTTTTGAATCCACAGATTCAGAGTCTTCAACCCTTGAATCTACAAGGGGGTGTTTGAATCCACAAGAGAAAAAGATTCTCACAATAGAGAAAACCAATTCAACTAAAAGGTGAGTAACTCAAGTTATAATAGGAGCATTTATATAGGCCTAGCAAAAAGGTTGGGCGCTCTCAAAAAGAAGATCCTGATAGATCATGAGGACACAATCTGAATAACTCTGAAATAATTTAAAATAGACTTTGATAGACTAAGATCTTAGATAGATCTTCTAAAAATACTTTAACTTACTATGATAGTTAGAGTATGTGGTCCTAATAGGTAGATATACTAAATAGATCTTAAGCAGAGACTCTAATAATTAAAGATCCTAAGCAAATCTAAGACTTTGATATTTAGAGATCCTAAATAGATCTTAGGTACAAACTAAACCACATTAAAATCCCTTCTAGAAGAAAAGAGACATAAAGTGTCTTCTAGAAATGAAAGAACATAAAGTAGAAAATAAATATTACTTTTCGGATCTCCAGCCCACTAATGACATATGTGGTCTCCTTTTTTAGTAATTTTTAATTTATAATCTAAATTTAGGATAAGTGGGCTCAAATTCGAAGTTGAGACTTCAACTTATGTCTTGGGCTACATCAAATTGGTACTTTAAAAAGACCTCACTGAAATCATATGTTGTAAGAAGATGACACTAGAGCCACACTAACATTTGTGGGAAATATAGTCATCTAAGGTTTGAAAGTTTGATCTTTTATGCAAAGAAAGTAGTTAGAAGTTGAGGTTGCATTTTAGATTATGATGAAAGTATGCACTAATCCTTTCAATGCCACCATAAGGAATTCAAACTCAATGCTCCAATTTTTGGCTTAATACTTGGTGGGAATGTGTTGGCCAATCTTACATGAGGAAGGGTAAAAAAACTGAAAGGGAAATAAATACCAATGTCACATAAAAATATGGAGAAATTCAAAACATATGCCACACAAGTGAAAATATTTTTTTATTGTGTGAGTTGCCAATAAGATAGCTATGAAAAACTTCTTTCTAATTAGTTAAAAGTTATAAAATGGTCATTTAGGCCTATATAAAATATTAAACTTTACCGCAATTGAATTTCCCACCAACTATTTCTTCCTATACAAGGTATTTTATCATTGATTCTCATGTTACAATAGAGTTCATTAGGTATAGTCATTTTCTCTTATTTTAATTTAAAATTTTTAATCGAAAATTTTAAAATTGCTTCTTAGTTTGTTGATGATACTTCTTTTTAAAAACTGTTGCCAAAAACTTTCTAAAATTTTATGTTCATCTTAAATCAATTATTCTTACATCAACTTGGAATGACACATTGATGATCCCTGAGGAAAAATGTTCAAGAATTCTAATAGGTTCACATTACAATTCCTTTTTAATAAGGAGCATCATCATCTAATCTTATTAGAGTCTTGATATTCAAGGAAAATAAGATTTTGCAGGCAAACCACATAGGGTTAAATATCATTCAGTCTTTGAAGGTGGATTTGAAGAGAAAAAAAAAATAGAATAGGTAACATAGACCAAGACCTTTAGCCGTTTGATGGAAAGAGATCAGATCAAGACCTCCATTCTCCAACTACTCACTTTCTAATCCTAGATGAATCATCTAATCATGAAAATACTCATATCATTCTCTATTACGCCATTGGATGTATGATGTGCACTTATTGTTGTGTTTAAGTGCACATTACTAATAATATTTATAACTAAGATTTCGTAAAATATTAGTATAGATGTAAGTCTTAGGTCAAATACATGGAGACTGATTAATCAGTCGTGAAAATTAATTTAGTTTAAATTTAAAATTATTTTTAATATTCTATCAATATTTAATAGAAATAATAAAATAGAGGGATGAGGTGAGAAGAATAAAAGAAGTAGAGCAAAAAAAGGAAGGAAGAAAAGAGAGAGAAGAGAGAAAGCTCACAATTGATGGAGAGAGAGAAAAGTCTTATAGAGAGAGAGGGAGATTGATAAATCAAGAGAGAGATAGAAAGATCTCATGAGAAATAGAGAGAGAAGAAGAGGTCTCATGAGAGAGGGAAAGAGAGAAATAAGACGATAATAAAGAAAGAGAAAAATATGGTCAAACCATTTTTATGGTGACCATTATTCTCGAATGAATGTGTGTTCGAAAATTCACACACATGACATTAGGTTAGTTGTGAATGTCTCCACATTATTTTAATAGTTCAATGATCATTAAGCAACCTTTAATCTCGTTGATTTTATGCTCGAAATAGAAAGATACACATTATTCATGAAACACTGAGAACATGAATATATTGAGATTTAATCACAAAAATCAATGAAGAATAAGTTGACACGATCTTAACTTGATACCAAATGAGTTTTAAAGGAGTCAAAAGAACAATAGAGATCATTCATCAAGTTTTGAATTAGTTGTACTCATTTTAATCGAAGTATGTATGAAGTAGAAATAACTTGTTGTAAAATATAAATAAATGACATAAGTAGGTAAATAAATACTAAAAGTAAAAAATAAATCATTACCCAAATTTAGTCTACCTCCTAGGCAACTAGAGACATTGGTGTGACATCTTGGTTTTGTTCGAACATGCTACACCACACCGAAAGTCACAGAAATATCATCTAGAAGTGTTGCATTACTTGCTAGAGAGATCCACTGAAAGGAGGGGTTAATCATGCCTTCACCATCATATAAAGGGGAGAAGGGAAGAACTGACCACTTGTCAAAGGCCTTGAGTGTAGTCAGGGGAGGAAGGAACGAGCTCGTTAATCACTAGAGGCATTGATCGTGTGAAAGGAGGGAAGAATGGATTACTATATTCGCAACTAATGTTGGGATTTCAAAATAAGTAATAATATTTATTTTATCATAAAATAATTAATTATTATCTTTTGATCTCTAATAGTGATACATGCGAGAACTTAAGTTCCTAGTATTGTGGCTCTTTGAGAGCTGTCAAATCAAATGTGCTTGTCATGTGGCATGTTGAGCAATGCAAGATTAACCTACAACAAACCGCTGTCAATCGGGAACTTAAGTCTTTGGTATCGTGACACCTCCTTAGCCATCGGAACATCATTTATGACCACATACATGTTGAGCGCCATCAAATTCATGAACCATTGATAGTTTGCTTTACGCATCTGGTATCGTGGTGGATCACCCATTACAAGATCTAGCTCATTTGATAACGTGGCTCGCTAAACACTACTAGATGCGATCCATACAGCTTCCTTGAAATACATGAGAAACTTTAGTCTCACATTAGAAATATTTTGACAACTATGTTAAATATAAATTAGAGTTATGTTATGTTAGGAAAGATCTCTTCTCCCAAAATAAAATAATGTCCAAGACCATCTTAGGAGAAGGTAAAAGGTGGTCCACCCTCGCACGCACAATTGTGTACAATGCTCCTTGCTCCATGATTGGTTGGTCATTGGGATGTGGCAGGGGATTGATACACTCGTGTGTAGAGCAAGTCCTCCTCAACTATTGAAACCCAACTTGTGGTCCCCTAGTCTAGGTCTACCCACTTGACCACGGCATCCCTTCGGGTCAACTACTGAGTGTCGACTTGCTAGCAGGTGGTGATATTTTTTTATTTTTATAAATAATAAAAAATTATTCTAAGTATTTTAACTTTAAATTTCTAAATTAACAATATATTCTTATATTTATTCTGAAAGTTAACAAAATAAAATAAAATAATATAACTAATTAAAACACAAAAATATAATTTAACCAATGCATAACTATACAATATGTAGTATGTAACTATCTTGGGAGGCATGATCGAGCACATGTCTATGGTACTTGCAGCCAAAATGCACCCTTGAGAAAATGAAGAGCAGCACTTGTTATTGTCTCATAGTACTGGCAACGTAGAGAGAATGTATTTCCTCAATGTCCTGCATCAATCTTTTTGTCTAATGTACGAAAATTAAAGTCTACTTGAACTTTTCACAAGGGCAGCTATACTATAGCGTCATAAAATCTACATTACATAAATCATCTCATCATGAGTTTGCCGGAGGATAGAGAAAGGAATAACAACATTAAAAAAGGAACGAAAAACACATGAACAATTTAACATATATGCCAAGAGATTAAATCAAGTTAATGACCTCAAATCTTTAAATTGATTACACAGTTGTCAAATCTGCAGACTCAAGGATTTTGGTCAAAAGATTCAAAGCACTTTCAACAAGATTTTCTCTATCTTCTGCCTTAGTGCCAACAGAAGCCTTCTGAAGGTATTCAACAACTAAGAAATACATGTAATTAGGCTACCCGTTGAAGTAGCCTGGGCATCCATCGGAGAGTTTTCCATTAGTTTATTCTATATGCCTCTGCCATCTGGACCAATGTGGTGCTGCAACCAGAAAGAAAACAATGAAGAATGCACAGATATGTTTAAGAACATCAACTGCCTTGTTGATTACAATTCCACACCAACAACAACAAATCTAAAAAATGAGAATGAAAATCAAGGCAACAAATAAAATGACAACAATACATTATATAATCTCGTTTTCCTCTTTTGGGTTGAAGTATGCAACACTATCTAAGCTTTCTGAAACATAAAGACATGAAACATGATTCATCTAAAGCTATCCATAGCAGCCCACAAATGAAGTAATATTGATGCATTGTGCGAGATACAAAAATAAAATTACCTCCATTAGACTAGAAATAAGCCTCACTAGGATCTGGTTGCCTTCCTCATAACAGGCTAGCTGATGGAGTGTTTAATTGAACTACTTTTTGTTCAAAAAAGCAGTTGGAGGAGGTCCCAAGAAAAGGCTAGCTGGAGGAGCTCCACTTGGTATGCCATCCCCACCCACCTTCTACTCTGCTTCTCAGTATGTCAACTACGTTGAATAAATGTTTCATTTTAGGACTGGTTCGAATAAATCATACCAAAGATCCCAATATTAAACCCAGATATAGCTGATTGATGCTCAAAGGTTGGGAGACTCAATTCTTAGGTTTTCTTTTTTTTTTCAAAAAGAGCTTGATATATTTCACGAGAGGGAGAGAGAGAGGGAGAGAGAGTAATATTATTACAAAGACTCATATTTAGCTGTCAAAGAAAGGCATTTGTACCCTAACAATATACAGTGACGAGGGTAGAAAACAATCTGAGAGAGAGTTCTAGGGAACAAGATGTTTTTTTCCTTGAAGCTCATACAAGCATTAAGAGGACAGTGAGCAGGCATGGGAAATGGTTTGAGGTTCTGTAAGGGCAGAAACAGCTAGGTAATGATGATTATTTGTTTTACATGTTTTTTACCCATGCCCACAACAATCTGAGTACGTCAGAAATCCAATGGTGACAAGTCAGGACCCTCGGTAGCCATTGCATTGAAATGACTTGTTCAAAAATAACCAATGCATTACAAAGACAAAAAGGCATCCTCTTTAAAGCAAATGTACCAAAAAAACATATAATTGTGGTATTTTCTTAATCATCTAAAGAAATAAAATTTTGATTAAAACCTAACTATCCATCTAAGAAATAAATATGTTTTTGAAAACCTAACTATCCATCTAAGAAATAAATATTTTTTTGAAAACCTAACTATCCATCTAAGAAATAAATATGTTTTTGACCTACTAACATTTCTAAAACTTGATCCACAAATGGTAAAAAAAATTATCATTTTTAGTTTCTAGATTAAATTTCCGATAATCAATGCAAACTCACCAACTAGTGGTTAATTTTGTTTGAAATTTTCTCTTTTCTCATTTTTTATTACAGTCAATCTAGATTTTTTGGAACCACTTGGATAGTTATCATCCACTTGCTATTTGAAAGTGCATGGATAAAACCAGCATCAAGTCATTTCACAATTTCATTCTTCACTACATCCATAATATTTAGATTGAACCTTGTTTGAGGTTGTCTACTAGGTTTAGCTTCTTCTTCTAAATAGATATGATGTGTGCATATATGTTGATTTATTTCCTTCAAATCAAGTGATCTCCCAACCAATTGCTTTTTTATATTTTCTCAAAATCCCACGAATATTTTTTTCCTTGATTGTCAAAAAAATTCTGTACACAAATCCACATGATTTATTTTATAATTACTGAATTTTCTACTCTTTTAAAAAAATTAATTTCAACAATTTGATCATCACATTTGATTTTTTTCTATTCATGTTGAGACATCAATATTTATTTCAACAGTATTAAAAAATGGTCTACACAAAATGATGGGTATTTCACTAAATATAGAACGTAAATTCATTTCTAAAACCACAAAATCAGTAGGAAATGAACATCATTTCATAGTTATAACTACATCTTCTAACATTTCTTTTGCATTTTTAATTTGTAGATTTACAAATTAAAGCATAATGGAATATGGTTTTAAATTAGAAACTTGAAAATATTCATAAACTAATATAAGCAATAAATTAATACTAGCACCAAAATCTAATAATACATTCCTAAAAACATATCCGCCAATATTACAAGATATTAAAGGTGTGCCTACGTCCTTAAGCTTTTGTGGCATTTGATTCAGCAACATGGCCCTTGTATGAGTAGATAATTTTTCAGTTCTTGATGTTCTCTTTAGTGTGCAAAGTTCCTTCAAAATTTTTGCATACATTAGAACATTCTCTACTGCTTGTAAAAGAACGACTTTAATATAAACATCTTGAAAAAAAATCATAAATTTTGATTGACTTCAGATTTCTTTTCTACTTTGATTTCAGCACATCTAGAAAAGGGACTATTAAAGTTAGATTTTTATGTTTTAACTAGTTTTGTTATTTTATTTTTGTGCATTAACTTGCATAATAAATATAGTAATTTATTGTTAAGTTTAAAAGTCTGAAGTTAAGGGACTTAGTGCAATTTTTAATTCTTAAAATATAAAGAGAAAATAAAAATATCGTTGCCCACTAGCAAGTCAGCACTCAACAATTAACCTAGAGGAGCATTGTGCTCAAGTGGGTGGACCCAGACCCGAGGGAGCCACAAGCTAGGCTCGAGTGGTGAAGGATTCACTTCACACACATGCATCACTCCCTACCACATCCTGGGGGCCAACTGGTCGTGGAGCAAGGAGTGTTGTACACACATGTGAGCATGAGGGTGGACCACTAATTACCTTTTTACAAGATAATCTTAGGCATTATTTTATTTGAGAGAAGGGATCTCTACACTAAGAATGTAGCTTTGATATATGTTCAGCTCAATCACTAAAAAACTTCTAATGTGAGACTAAATGTTCTCATTTGTTTCAGCGTAGTGGTTTGGAGTTCCTGCGGTGAGCAAACCACCATGATACCCGAAGCGTAAAGTAATTCATTAGCAATTCACAAATCCTACATCGCTTAGCACGCACGTGACCAAAAAAGATGATTTGATGACCAGTGAAGTGCTAGGGTACCAAAAACTTAAATTTTCAATTGATAGCAATTTGTGGCAGGTTAATCTTGCATCACTTAACATGCTATATGACCAAGTACACCTAATCCAGGAACAACTAAAGCATCACAATATTGAAAACTTAAGTTTTTGCACGTATCACCATTAGAGATATAAAGACAATCATTGATTATTATGTAATAAAATACACATTATCGATTATCTTTATAAACTTAATGGCAGGTCATAAAGACGATATTCATTCTTTCCTCCTTTTGTGTGATCAACACCTTTAGCAATTGGCAAGCTTGTTCCTTCCTCCTCCGACTACACTCAATGTCTTCAGCAAGTAATCACCTCTTCCTTCTCTCTCTAGATGACGGTCACAATGTGGTCAACCCCTCTTTTAGTGAATCTCTCTAGCAAATGACATAGCACTTCTCAATGATACTTCTTGACTACGGTGTGGTATGACACATCTAGATGAAACCAAGTTGTTACATCATTGTCTTCAATTGCCAAGGAGGTAGACTAAACTTGGCCAATAATTTTTTTTCTATTTTTAATATTTATTTAAATTTTTTTAAAAAAATTATATTTTACGGTAAGTTATTTATGTTTCATATATCTTTAGATTAAAATGAGTAGAATTGATTCAAATCTTGATGAATGATCTTTGCTCTTTTTTCAAATCTTCGAAAATTCATCTAAAATCAAGCTAAGATTGTGTCTAACTTATTTTCTATTGATTTTTGAAGTCAAATCTCAAAGTATTTATGTTCCCAATGTTTCATGAATAACAAGTATTTTTCTATTTTTGAATATGAAATCAATGAGATTAAAGGCTAACTACTGAGTATTGAATTGTTAAAATAAGGTGGAGACATTCATAACTGACTTTATGTCATACATGTCAATTCTCAAGCACACATTCGTTCGAGAATCATAGTCACCATAAAAATGGGTTGACCATGTTTCTCTCTATCTTTATTATCTTATTTCTCTTTCTCTCTCATGAGACCTCTTCTTCTCTCTTCATCTCTCATGAGATCTGTTTCTCTCTCTCTCTCTCTCTTTTCCTCCTTCCATTCTCTTCTTCCCTCTCTCTCTTTTTCTCTCGAGACCTTTCTTTCTCTATCTCACATGAGATTTCTCTCTTTCTCTCTTTCTTTTGTCTTCTCTCCCTTCTCCACTTCCATTTTTTTCTTCTCCTCACCTCACCCTTTTATTTTATTCTTTTTGTTAAGTATTTGTAAAATATTAAACTAAATTAATTTTTCATGACACATTAATCAATCTCGCTGTGTTTGACTTGAGACATATTTATATTAATATCTTATTAATTTTGAGTTATAAATATTATTAAATAATAAGCATTTAAATACAATGAGAGATTGATTAATGTAAGTCTCCTTAAATTGTTGTGGTTGCTCTTATTCTTCATCTTCCACCATTGTTGGCTCTTTTTTTTCTTGTGCTCCTTCCATCTCTTCACATATTTCATTCCTTTTTTCTGCACCCTCTTTCTCTTCACATGAATTCTTGAGAATTTTTCCACTTCTCAATGGGATGACCACCCATATTTGTTCATTTTGAGGCACTTTATACTTATTTTTTCAGCTTGGTTCTCCTTGTTAAAAAAAATTGTTGACTTATTTCTCTTTTAAAAAATTTGTTGAAATTTGCAGCTATCTTTTGCTCCATTTGCATCATACTTTTTGAAATTGTTGTTGCTGTTGCTCAAATTTGTGTTGCATCTCCTGTTGAAAACTCATTTGACTTCACATCATTTGACTCATGATTTATTGCAACATGTTCATAGAAGTATTAATTGTGAACATGGAACATTAGATTAATAAATTGGAGGAACTTGCATATATCTAAATTCATTTTCAGTATGTTTATTTTGACAAAATTGAGATTTCAAAGCTTTTGGATTTGGAATATTATTTTTATTTCTCCAATTACGATTGTGTTCAGTGGCAAAAGAATTAAATTTAAAATATCCATATGTATCTTGAACTTTAGTTATATTTGATTGTTCAGGTTGTTCAACATGTGGACAATTTTCTTCATTATGTCTCATATCTCCACATATTGAGCAACCTAAATATGGCATAGCAAAAGACTTCAAATTCTTTTTAATCATAAAAATATCAAACTTTTCATATAAAGATTTCATCTCATTCATTTACAGTTTAATCTCTTTCAAATCAGATTTCAATTCTATATCCTCAAAATTTCTTATATCAATTATTTATCACCTTCTAGATGATCTTCTATTATAATTAGATGCAAAGGTATGATTCATCAGATTTTCACTAAAGTTTTCTAAAAATTCTATGCATGATCTTCAGTTATATTTAAAAATAATCCTCCACATGCTCCATCTACCATTTTCTTAAAAGGCTGTCGTAAAATATTTTAATTATTTGACTTTTAGGAATATCATGATGTGGACATTTTCTTATCAAATCTTTCATCTCATAAGCTTCTCCTGAATTTTGTGAAAATCGTAAAATTACCTTTCTCATGCTTTTGGTTTTTCCTCTAGGATAAAATCTGTTAAAAAAATCTTGGAATAATATATTCCATGTTCTATTGTTTCCATCTAATGTAGAAAACTAATAACTAGCTTTATCCTTCAGAGAAAATGGAAATAAAGTTAGTCTCATAAAACTATCCACTTCCTTAATGGCAACGTAAATTCTTTGAAGTTCCTTGAGATGAGCATAAGGATCTTTATATTGAAGGCCATAAAAATAGGTATCATTTCAAAGACACAAGGTTTTATTTTCCTAGAGCAGCAAGGGTTTGTAATACATCTTCACATGGATATACAATGAAATTATCCTATAATACTCTTATGTGGTTCAATAGCATTTTGAGGATTCATATTTTTTCAATTTTCTGCTACAAGACTTATTCTTTCAAATTTCAGAAAATTCTAACCTTAGGCTTAATGATCTCATACCTAACATGCACAACAAAAGATATAGCAAACAATAAAACTAAAAAAATAATAAAAACTGAAAAGAAATAAATAAATACAACTATCACATTTTTTATAAATATCAATTTTTTTATCAATCACATGCATTATAAATAACACTAATTTTTAAAAATCTTTCCCAACAATGGCACCAAAAAAATTTTTAATATTCTCTTACACTATTAAGAAAATTCAAGAAATTTTAATTTTATAAATATTAGAAAATAAGCTAATTTAGAAATATTTAAGTTTGTAGAGATTTTCTAGGTCAAACACAAGAAAGATAAAAAACTTATTTAGTTATATTTATAACTTCCAATTGATAGATTAATTTTTAAGAAATTTTAATTTTAAAAATTAATATAATTAATTTAAAATATTAAATTAGGGATTATGAGGTCAACAAATGTCAGTCTGCAAAAAGCACTCCAAAATTTGAGTTGCCAAAAATACATCAACTCTTATTTCTCTAAATCAAAGCCAAGATACTTTGATTAAACTTTGATTTCAAAAGAAAAATTATTCATAACATGATTTAGAGCTAGATCAAATTTTTTAAAGATTAAGAAAAATTAAAATCATGTAGTGAATCAAGTTATATAGAAGAATGGATGGACGACTGTCGATTGAATTTCCACTTGAATTCGATTAATTTGTGTAGGTGCAGTGCATATAGTGGATTCCTACATAGTCTGTAGTTGACATTCCACGTTCTGTCTTTTCATCGGACTATGATCCGTAGAAGAGACCAGAAGGCAGACAAGTCATGAATGATGATCCCAACAATTGTTAGTTGTTGGAATCAATCAAAGGTTGTAGTTTGACTTTGAGTATGCCGTGGCATCTAGAGAAGGACCCTCATAAGAAATTTTTCATTGTTTGTATTGGGTGAAGAATGGAACGAGTTCATGGCTGAAGTTTAGCTTCTATAGTAGTTGAATCAAAGAGAAAGATCCTCATAAGAAATTGAGAAGAAATCCATCATTTGTACTACATGAATGATTTGGGTGAATCTTACATTCGTTTCTGCTATAAGAGAGCAAATTTTGTCGCTTTGAGCGATAGATTGATCGAAGATGCTCCATTCTTCCTCCCCTAATATTTTTTTTCATCTCCTTGTGTGTTAATTTCATTGATTTCATTAATTTCATCACATCATCCACCATACTTTTCACTTTTTTCTGTTACATCTGCTGTTGATGTGGAAAACCTAAAAAAATAAATTAGTCCCTTATTTTAATTTTTTTATTATTTATCGTAATAAGCTCAAAATAATTTAAAAAAATTATAAAAATTCATAAAAATTCAGAAAAAATGTAATTAAAAATAGAGGCATTTTTATAATAATAAATCCATAGGTAAAACCTCTCAAAATATTTCATGGTCAATTTCAACATGTAATTTCTATAAATTAACAAAAACATCATATAAATAAGTTTAATATAGTTTTCCTAGATTAAAATAGTTTTTAAATATTTGTGAAAAATGAAATAATAAATTATTAATTATTAAGAATTTTATATGTAATTAATGAGAATTATCTTCCTAATCCTTAATTCCTTGTCACTTCTTTTTTCTTAGTCAAATTGGTAAATTTCCCAGCAGTTTCATCTTTAGCTTCTAATAAAAATGGATACGGAGGCCTTGAGGAAACATGCACTGATATGAACTCATCCTTTTCTACCAAAACTTGATGCCTTAGTCGGTCCCAAAAATCTGTATAATGATTCCTAGTGTTGACTAGTTGTCACCATATTCTTTGATATTTGAGCTTTCTTTGCCAACTCTAGTATAATGTAAGTGTTATTGTCAAAGTTTTCATCTAAATCAAAATTTGATACTCCTCTCACTCATTGAAATTTCTATAATTTTTTGATTGCTCTAATGCCTACATGTTGAAGTCATGTCATAGTTTCATCAAATTCTTGGATTCATACAAAACCAAATAGATGTTTGATTTGAAGAACTCATGAAAATAAGTAACATAAACATTACTTGTTCTTGAATCAATAAGAATAATGTAATTTTTAGTAACTAGTCTTAGTTTTTAGGCTATAGTGTGTTGATTTATTTTATGGTTACCATATCTTATTGCTTTTCCTTTCACCTTCAGTTTAATTAAGAACTTACTAACTGAAGCACCTATTTTACAAACTCAAAATTGGTCTTTTTCCATTTGAAATCATGTGTGATGCATCTAATCAAGCTAATAGGGCTTTCTTAGGGCAAAGAATTGATAGAAAACATGTGGTAATAGTATATGCAGGTAAAATAATTTATTGATCTCAATTAAATTATACAACCATAAAAAGAGAATTATTGATAGTAGTCTTTGTATTAGAAAGGTTTAAATATTATATTTTAGGATTTAAAATAGTTATTTATTCTGATCATGGTGCACTTAAATTTCTTCTTACTTCCATGATGTTTTTGCATCTTAATATTTAGTATACAAATTTTCAACTTGTGTAAACTCGACAACTTTAGTTTCATGATCATTTTGTGTTCATTACAGGTAGTTGAACACTTTAGATCAAAATTTCTAATCAACCTTTGCCCAATTTCATCCAACATACTTCCTCTATAATATTTGGCTATTTAATGTAATAAAAAAATTATAAACATTAAAAATAATTAGATTTGGGTTTTCTTCAATTTAGTTTCCATCCATGATATGTAAAATTTCTTTCACCTATTTATGTTTGATATATTTACCTTCATCTATGGATACAACTTTTGATTTTCAAAAAACTAAAATCAATAATAATATAAATAAATAAATAAATAATCAAGAATGTCAATTTTTTCTCATTTTTCACTCTCCACCCCCTAGCTAAAATTAGCATTGTCCAATGATGTAAAGAAGTCTAAAAATGTTTGCATACATGCTTTCATTCTTGTTATAATAGCAAAATAGATTCTTTGACTCTTAATTTTTCATTCTCCAAATAAATATTTAATATTTGGCCATTTACCTTAAATTCTCTATCATCCATGGGATCTTTAAAGAGAACATCACCATTATTACAATATATGGATCTATCTATTTAGACTTCAATTTTCTTGAAAATAATGTAAGCCTGGAATCATCTAGCCATACTTTTTGTTTGTTTCAAATTGTTTCTTTCAAATATATCTATCATGAAATTCTTTAGTACGAGCTCTATAAATTTTACTATTTTGATATGCCTAATTTCTAAGCTCTTATAATTCTTCAATTTGTGGTAATCTATTTTTTTTCCCTTCTTCAAGTTCATGTTACTTGTTTTAATGCTTATAATGTTCTATGTTCTATCTCAAAGGTGTTTTAAAAATGGTTTGATAAGCCTACAAAGCATCATCTAACTTTTTGGATCAATTCTTCCTATCAAGTCTCACAATTTATTAAGATTCTTTATATTTCTCTATTTGTTACTTCAAATTGTCTGTTGGTTTGTGGATGGTAAGATGTTGCAATCCTATAGTTCACACCATTTCTTCTTAGTAAGTCTCCAAATTGATGATGTGTAAAATGAGTTCCTCCATAATCTAATAACTTTGGGACAACTAAATCTAGAAAATATAGATTTTATAGTAATTTGGTCTAGATTTTGTAATGAGGAATTCTAAAATTCTAGAAGTAAGAAGAAGAGGGCTTAGATTCAAGAACTATGAAATGATAATATGAAGTGATCGGATCTTATTCATGGAAAGATAAAAACTCTTACATTTCTGATTATATGATAATTTTCAGCTGAGAATATTGATTTTTTTTGGTAAAATGAATTTAGATCATAACATTAGAATGAAAATAGAGTTTATAGTCAATGAAATTACATGTTTATTTTCATTACTAAGAGACTAGCAATGAGGTGAGTCAAGAGGTGTGATAATTCTCATTAATTATATGATAAATAATTAATACTTTATACTTTATCACTTAATTTTTCAGGAATATTTGTAAATTACCTTAATCTAGAAATTACATGTTGAAATTGACCATGAAATAATTTGAGAGGTTTTACCAATGATTATTATTATTATCAAAATACTTATGTATTACTTATTTTTTTTGAAATTTTCCTATTTTTTTCTAAATTTTATTAAATTTTTATGAGCTTCTTACAATAAAAAAAATTAAATTAAAATACGGGACTAATGATTATTATGTTAGGTTTCTCACATCAACGATGAACATAATGGATACAATGAGAAATATGGTTGATTGATTGACAAAATCAATGGAATTAACACATAAGAAGATGGAAAAAATGCAAGGGAAGGAAGAATGGAGCATCTTCAATTAATCTATTGCACTCTACAACCACATTCTCTCTCCACAGTATCAATGGATATTGGATGTGCCCAAATAATTCATCTTGATACAAACGATAGGTTTCTTTTCAATTTCACATTGATTCAATCATTATAGAAGCTGAAATTTATCCACAAACTTATCCTATTCTTCGCCCAATAAAAATGGTGAAAAATTTTCTTCCAAAGATCCTTCTCTGAATGCCACAGCACATTTCAAGTCAAACCACCACTATCAATCAATTCCAAAAAGTGACAGCTGTTGAGATCATTTATTGATTGAAGATCATGTAAGAATCCACTCAATTTACCACACCTAGACAAATTAATCTAATTCAGGTGTAAATTTGATCAATAATCGTTTCACTTATTCTTCCATAAAACTTGAATCTTTGCATGATTTTTAATTTTTTTGATTTATAAAAACATTGATTCAGTTCTAAAGCATCAAACAATTTCTATTTTGAAATAAAAGTTTAATTCAAAGTCTTTTAGGTTTGATTTCAGGAATATGAGTCAAAGTATTTCCAAATGACTTGAATTCAATAGTGTTGTTCATGAGCCATGTTTGTTGATGTCATAATCACTAATTTATTTTTTTTAAAATATTTTGATTAGTTTTCACAATTAATTTTTTTAAGAAATAATCTATCAATTAGAAATTATAAAGATGACTAAGTTTTTAGTCTTCCTTGTGTTTGACTTGGAAAACCTTTAGAAAACTAAATATTTCTAAATTATTATTTTACAGAATTTATAAATTTTAAATTTGCTGAATTTTCTTAACAATGAAAGAAAATATTTAGACAGTAGTAAATTGAAAAATCTAATTATTTGTAAATTTTCTTGATGATCCAAAAATTCCATATAAGTTCTCTAGTTCTAGTTGCAAATCTACAAAATGTTTTCTAGGTTAAATTCTGGGTTACATTTCCCATATACACTTTTCTAGGTTACATTTTGCAAATTCCATATATATTCTAACTTTTATTTTCTCATGTCCTCTATCTTGACCTTGACCATTTACTATCAAAGTTTCAACAATTGTAGAAGATGTATTTTAACCTCATTGATAGTAATGTATTTAACAATGGCCATCTTCAATTTGTCAGCACTATATAAAATATTGGTCTTCAGGTTGTAATAGGGATGAGAAAATGACTTAAGAAGAATAATAGCTTGACTTTCCTTCTCTACATTAGTCTGCAACTAAGACACAAAAGGCTTGAAGACATGATACAGTACGATTTAAATCACTTAAAGAAATCTTTCTACATTCATGAAGAGGGCTATTGATATTTATTTTGTAGAACAACAAATCAATACAGAGCCATATAGGATATTTAGAGCTTTTTCCCATCTTGATCTTGAATGTCTTCCTCTTTAATTTGAAAAGAGATAGAAACCAAAATAGAAGAAGTTGCACCCTAACCCTTTTATTCTCTGACCAGTTCTTGTCCTCCCAACCTTTTACAATCTTCCAACATGCATGCACTTTCTCCCATATCATGATTGATGAAAAACAATTCCACAAATTTAAGTTATCTTGATTGATTAATATTGTTATGCCTCTCTAAAAATATAAAACTTAGCACTTATTCGGAGAAGGTATAAGATTTACTTTGAGCACTTTATTTTGATTTAGTTTGTTTTCTCCTTTTTTTTTTTGTATTTTAATAAATGCAAAGAATACCAAGACCAATGGATGGCTGACACAACAGAAAATGCACCAATCTCTCAATCCTTATGTTTTTGTACCTACCTTTCCACGTAAGCATGATTTTATTTTACATCTAGCTACTATTTTATTTACCTACGTTGTGTCATCTGGGTAATAATACTTTAAGTTCTGGGGGGGTGAGTATGAGAGAAG